ATTCTAATATAAAACAAAATTGTAAGTTCAAAATAAATAAATTTTTAAAAATAAGAAAAAAAAGATCAATAGGTAAGAAATATTTCTTAGTTATCTTCATAAACTTAATGTTAATATGTAATAAATCGAGTAAATTTATAGTTGGGTTCAAATATAATTTGACGAATTGACCAATATTTGACTTTTTATGACGATTATAACTCTATTTAGTATAATATAATATTTACTATTTAGTAAATATATAAAATATGTTCATAAATTAATGGATATAATTAAATTTAATGATATTTGCTAGATTTATTCTAAAACTAATGTTCCATTTACTCTGTTGTAGTCTTTTGCAGATTCAACCGAGTTATTTTTATTTACTTTTAAATTTTTATAAAATCATGTTATTTATTTTATAATTAATTTCCCATAGTCAGAGTTTTTAACCGATTTCGGTTCTTTTTATGAATATTATACTCTAAAAGAACTTCATTTTTTAAAAAAAGTTGAACTTAGAAGGTTACAATGACTTTGCCACCTGCAAAATCCCTTCCACCAGCCTGATATCGACATATCTGATTAATGTTTATCGATTATACCATATTTCATAAAATATGCTTATCAAGATATCACTTTCATATGGAAAAATTATCATAAATATAATAACTAAATGGTTTGAATATCACACTGCAGAAATTAGTTCCTTTATTATATCACAAAATTTATTGAATAATATACCCTTATAAAGATGGTTCTTATTTTTTACTTGGGTAAAAATCTATTAACCCCTTATTATAGCTAACGGCTTAAGTATATTTAAATTTTTTTAATTTTTTATACAAAATTCATTTAAGATATTATCTCTTATTTCTCTTGGATAAATCCAAACTACTCATTCAACGATAGGTGCTTTCAGAGATAATCATCTAAAATTATCACTACTAAAAACTATCAAAAAATTGTGAATTCAAAAGAGTTATAATTCAGAATATGAATTAATTTAAAACCTTCTAATCATATACGATGATGTATTATTTGGCATAAATTTAAGCTCCCTTTTAAAGTACATTTAAAAATATGGCAGAAAATTATCCAAAAATAAGTTTTTTTGTAAATTCAATGACTAAAGATTGTATTGTATGAAATATATCGATTTGAGGACGTTTAGAAATCTATGTATATGTATTAAAAAGTCTAATAAAAGTACTAAATAAATTTTTACAGCAAAATATTATGCCCTATTTCATCTAAAATTTAATTAGTAATCCCCCCACCCCAATAAATTTACCCAACCCCTTTAGGTACCTACCTCATACGTCCTTTAGATGCTTACCACTATTCCCCTTTAAAAAAAATTGGATTGGAAGCAAATTGCTCCTTCTCATGATCAGTGACCGCTATAACGGGGGGGGGGGGGGTCGAAGCAATTGTTAAATTTAAATGGGGGAACTGAAGGTAATATGATGGGCCTTATTAAACTCATTGCAGATTCTGAACCTGTACTGGGAGAAAAACAATAAGGGATTAAAAACGAAATTATATGCAAATCTATTAACATATAATAACATAAATATTCTCATTAAACTATGAAAAATATGGTTATAAAAAAAAATCAAAATGAGATTGAATTTAACAGGTGCTTTTCAATCATAGTTGATGGCACATATGATGTTTCGAAATCAAAAGCAATAGCTTTGATAGTAAGATATGTTAAAAATATTGAGACTCCTAAGCCCATTGAAGGACTGATAGACATATATTGTATGGGAACACAACTGGTCTCGATATTAAAAAGAACATAATATTCAAACTTGGCTCCATGAATTTACCTCTTGAATTCCTAATTGAGCAAAGCTATGATGGCGTCTCAAACATGAGTGTAAGAATCAATGGAGTGCAGGCTTTGATTAGAGCGGAAGCGCCAAAGGTAGCTTTTATTTGGTGCTATTGTCATCGATTAAATTTAATCATTGTTCAATTATGTCAATCAATAAATGAATTGCGAAATGTTTTTGAATATTGGACTAGATTTATATATTTTTTAATGGTGTTAAAAGATATGAGGTGCTCAAAGCATGTCAGAGTAATGCACTGACAAAATAGCAAAATTTCCGCATCAAGAACCACTCGGTAATATTATCTTATTTGTTTTAGATAGAAGCTGACTATCGTCATATAAAGCTATTGTAAATTTTTTCTACTTTATTATGCCTTGAGGGCGGCTTTAACAAATTTAAAGGATTCTGAAGATCGCCATTCCACTATGGCTAGTGCTATAGTCTTTAGAATAGAAAAAAATTTATTTTATTTTATATCTTTGTGTTTTGGATAAAATATTGTTGATAACAAGTTTGGCTTGTACAAAATTTCAAACCATTTCGAAGGATATAAGGTTTGCAATAAATCAAATTTAATTGGCAAAAGATTGCCTGATTAATTTGAGAAGTTTTATTTAAATTATTGTCTTGTATTATTTTTTAATCCATAGATAATAAAAATTGAATTTGTGCATGTTTTTTTAATGGCACAAGATTTTATGAAGGGTAGAAATCTGTCTTTTGATTTTGAATTACAATCCAAAAAGGAGACGTATATATACTTTTAATAAATAAAATATTTTATTTTGTCTATAAAGCAAGTTTATGCTGCACTTGATTTGACATTATATGCAGTTTAATTTAAGATTCAATGACGAATCTATGAAATTTTTATATCAAACATTATTTTTTTACACCAAAAAGAATAGCAAAATAGGCATTTGATAAGGATGATATTGAGAATATCTGTGAATTTTACCATTTAAATTCAAGTCAAGTTTTTGAAAAAATGTCCAAGTTTCGAAATATTTATATTCTGGCAAAAACGAGTGGTGTAATTATTATACATGACCTGGAGAAGATTCTAAAGATTTGTCAGATACTAAGAATTGTAAGTTTATTTTAATAAAATATATATATTAATACATTATTTAACTTCTTCTGATGATGATAATGATTCTGAGACTTATGATTCAGATTGGAAAATTGTTAGTTTATACCATATCGTTTATTTTAAAAATTTTCTGCTCTAATTTATCAATTTTGCCAAAACGGTGTCAAAAAATTATTATTTGGAGGGAATGGAGGTACTTTTCAGGAAGTATTCTGCTTCCATAGCTCAGAAAATGTAAGGACAACTGCTCATGATGATGCTGAGCTATCATGTGTTTATTTTAAAAACTGAGATATGTGGATTAAATAGAACTATCATCCCAAAATTTCCAAAATATATATCAATTGTTTTTTTTATTAATAAGGAATTTCAATGATGTAAAACGTATTGCTTGAGAAGGTAGCGTTTGCAAACATTTCATCATATTTTAAGTTGTTTTAGTACTCTCATTGACAAAACATTTTATGCTAAAGTATTTTCTTTTTTATTAGGTCAGAATTTATGATGAAATAAAAATCGAAATGTCAGATGTAGATACTTATAAAAATTGTCCCCTAAAATGAGTAAATGATTGTCATTTTAACTGTTCTTTGCCAGATTTTACTACTAGAAATGTCTGTATTTTTTGTTATATTCGTTTTTTTTAGGATTAAGACAGATGCATTAAGGTGTATTTAGCAGACACACATAATATAACTGATTAGTAGTATTGTTTCATTGTATAAGAGTGTGTGACAATAATCATATGATATATTTAATAATAAGTGTTGTGACCTCAAGATTTTAACTAAAAAAAAATTACCTAATTAATATCATCCAACATTGATCTTTTACAATTGATTTTTGTATTTTATATGTAAATTGGTGGAAAATGGATATTTAAGGATGAAGCTTCAATGGGAAGGTCTTACTCAATGGGGTAGGGGGGGGCAGGGTTATGGAGCATATAAAACAATCTGATTATAAAAAAATTAAAGCAATTATATAATGAAGTAAGGTATAAACTTCCAAAGCATGTTTCCCAGTTCTACTTTCTTTTATATCATTCAATTCTTGCATCACAATCCAAGGTATAATAAATGATATCTCTAAATATTAGATAATATAATTTGCATTCTTTTTTATAATATAAGATAACAATATAAATAATTTCCATTAATAGAATAAGATGATATGGTGAATCTGATAGGCATAGTCAGGATTTTGATAGGGCAATTTATGATGACTTTCTCCCCATGCATTTATTGTAGGGTGTTTGACTTATTATTTTTCAGGCCTTTGTTTAAGTTAAATATTTTTTAAATAATTTTGATTTTATGCCATTTTTAATTAAAATACTTTTTTTCTAAAAATTTTTAATTTTACTCATTATTTTAGAAAATTATTTATTCATTCATTTTTGGTATAAAACCATTTTTAAAAATAGCTAACTCAATATTTTAGCCAAAAAAATATTGTCTAAGCCTCGAGATTTTGTTAATAGATGTTCAAACCTTTGTGCCACCTATGAGCAAAATCTTAAGGCTTGCATAATATATTTCTTAATAAAATATTGAGTTAGCCGTTTTTAAAAATCAGCTCAAAATGAGCCATTTAACAACATTAACTTTTGGTAGAGAGGTGTGTATAGTAAGGGGGGTGGGGGGGGGGGGGGGTAATTTTATATTAGCTTAAAATAATATTTACAAGAACTTCATTTTTTAAATGGTGGCAGTAATGCACAGGCTGGTGAAAGTGGAAAAAGTGGGCAGTAGTGGGGTGGGCACCAAAATTATACAATATTTGGATTCATAAATTATTGGTTCTTTTATATTGATTTTGATTTCAATTTTTTCAATCTTATTTTAAATTATTTTTTTATACTAATTTTTAGTTTAATTATCTATTTATTCTAATTTGAATTGCTTCTTATTACTAATTTTGATATGAATTCTTTTTTGGTTAATTTTGATTTGGATTTTTTTCTAGAGTTTAAGTAAATTATTTTAAAGGGCAATCAACTTTATTCACCTTGACCTACCATGAGTCTTAGCTAAGGCCTGGTTATGCCCATGAAATTGTGATATATAAAAAAAAATTACCATGTGTAATGCCAGTCTCAAGTTCTTTCCCCTTGTCATATTGAGTTATTAATGGAGATAGAAATGAACATAAGGATGATCCAAAGTTTGACAGCAATATATTTGTATCAAGAACAATATTACATTTTAACTATATTAAAAACATCAAACAAAATTTAGAAATTTTATATTACTATTTCTCGTAGCAATAATGGCTTTTTAGCATATTTGTCAAAATTATCTTTGTTAACAATTACATGATCATTGTGCTAAATGTTAAATAAATAATTCAATATAAATAACTTTTATTTGATGTTAAATATTTCTAGCTACTTGTTTTATTTTATCCTTAAATCATATTTATTTAGTTTCATTCAAAATCCTGTTCGTTTATATTACGCTCTAAAACATAAACTTAAAATATTACTAACTTTTGTAAAAGAAGTGACATTTCCACAATTTTTAATAAATGTTGATATTGACTCTTTGACTTTTTGAATTTGGGATTTGCCATTTTTATTTAAATGAATACTAGTTGATTTAATATATTTGTGTTTGCTATGCACACCTTTATACTAAATATAAGTATAAGCATATAGAATTTGCATATTTATTAACCTGATTACGTTCTTTTTTAAACATTTAAATTCAAACCGCCTAGCAATAATATAAATGCATGCGTGATTAATTCTGCTTTTTCAAAAGAATAAAATTTTTTTAAATTATTTTTTTACATCTTTCCAGTTAATATATTATAATATATATATGCTACTGGCCATAAATGACTGGCCACCTTAAATTTTTACATATTAATAACTTAAAACTTTTCAACTTATTTGAGTATAAGCAAATTGATTAATTAATTTAAGATGTCTTTTAGAAATAAAAAACTCGGAATTTCTATAAATTTTTCTATGAAATTTTAGCTTTTGAAAACAACATGTCAATGACGTATTTGTTAAAATAGGGTTGATTAGTTTATTTCAGCAACAATTTTAAGTTGCCCATTGTTTTTTGGAAGAAAGTCATTAATCACATTCTAACCTGCTTATTAATACCCATTTTTAATTATTTTAAAAAAAATTCCTAGATTTTTTTTGTTTTAAATTATTGTTTAAAGAAACTTTTAGTCTTTATAAATCTTAACGAACATTCGACCAAGATGATTAAAAGAAAATAAATTTCTATTCCAACTATATGCTAAATAATTAATTTACGCATAGTGGTAAAAGCAGAGTTGTACATTTGCTCAAAATAAATAGATCTTTGAATATCGTAAAATTTGAAGATCTTTTATTTATAAAAAAATTTGAGGATCTCGTAAAATTTGAAGATCATTTTTTAAAAATTTTGTGTAACGATCTTCATGATATTTATTTTTTTACCCCTTTATCCAGATGTTTTTCAATTTTATTAATATAATATTTCTTTTATGTTTTATACCTCTCCTCCTGCCTTGATGAAAGAAAAAAATTAATTTTTTTTTAAAAAAAAATATTGACACAGCATAATTTTTGATGGTTTTATTATTAGATTGCAAAATATTAAAAAAAGAGTGCCTACAAGAATATTTTTTTTGATTGATATGAGAGTTTTTAATATTATCATTGAAAAGTGAAATAATTTTTATTTATTTGAATTGTAAAAAAAATATTTAAAAATTTATTGAAAAGCTTCCTTTTCTTCCGAAATTTTTTAAAAATAATAAAATTTTATTTGTTTCCAATGAGAGTGTAGGTAGTGTTACATATTATATAATAGTAAAGATGTGCTAAACCCATATTTTAAAAAATTGGGTTTGGGCTTTGTCGGTTCTAAAAAAAAATTTTTTAAATTCCGGCCAGGTCGGGTAGTGCCTTGGAAATTTTTTAAAATAAATATAAATATATGAATAATTATAAAAAATTAATTTTTGCTGGCTGTGCTGGTAAAATTTTTTTAATCGGGTTCGAGCCGGAAAACATTTTTTAAAAATTTTGGGTTGAGCTTGAAAAATTAGGCCTTATGCAGATCACTATAATACATTATTATAATATATTTTCCTCTCGCTAATTAATAAGTAATTACTATGTTTAAGATAACACATTTGCATTAATAAATTTTTATTTCATTTTTTTTTAAATCAAAATATAAATCTTTTTTTTTTGTGAGTTTTAAAAATAATTTCCGGTATTGAAAAAAAGGAATAAAAAAAACAGACCGGTCTATGGGTCTTGGAAACTTTCTTAGAAAGTGTGTCAGCATACCCTGGCTTAATAAATTAGTATCGCTATGCCAATTCCCCTTACTACTAGTTCAGAATGAGGTGCTAACTTTCTTTTAATTTCATCGCTATTTTTTAATATTGATTTTTTAAATAATTTTAGAAATGTATCTATTGGACATATATATTTGATAACATTAGTTCCTAAATTTGATTGAGATAATTAGAATACTTTTGGATATTCGTATTATTTAAGGGGGGGGGGGGATGTGCCTATTCTAAAGTCAAAATATAGTATAATTTATAATATCAATTTATACTTTTTATCTTTTATTAATTAATAAAGTTTAATAATTATTATTAAGGATAATTTATCTTAATGAGGGTCTGAACCCCGGGTCTGGACTCAGGGTCTGGACTCCGGGTCTGTGCTCAGAGCTGGTTTGGTCGATTTTTTAGACCCAAACCTCGGGTCTGGTTTTATACAACTAACCAATTAACAACACTTTAATATTAAGTAAAAGTCATGCTTTTACTATTTACAACGATATAAAATAGCAAGTTGCGATTTTAAAAATAAAAGTAAAACAAAATTAACACTTTCCCAAGATGTCTAGGAAATGTCATAAAAACCACCAATAAAATCAGAATGATATGATATATTTGTCATATTATATATCCTTAAAATAAGCTAAATTTTAATAAAAAAAATAAGCCCAAGCCCAGCCCAAGTCATATTGCATAAAATTTCTAAAGAACCCAAACCCGGCCTAGGCCCGCTAGAAAATATATATTTAGGTCTATACCCTATCCATGTTTCTGATATAATTATGGGTTGTTAAATTCTAGACCCAACTAATTAAAATGGGTCAATTCTGGTTTTTTTATTCTGAAAATATTTTATATATTTTAATTTTACTCTACCAACTCGAGTCGCGAAATACAGTTGTAATTATGATTCTTTATTTTAAACTTAGGGAAATAGTTCAATATTAACATCAAATTAATTATCCTATATTCTCTTTAGTATCTCTCCTTTTAAAATTCAACTCATACTTCTTCATCCCAATATATTAAACTTTTACGCAAATTTCAAATACCTCTTTGTATCTCTGATTTTACAATTCATCTCAATATAATTATAATAAATTCTTGCGCATATACCTTTTTTGTACCTCATCTTTTATAATTCAACCCACGTATATAAATATTTCAAATCAAATCATTCCTTGATTCAAATATATCCCCCTTTATTAAAAGCCCAAATAGTTTTCAATTTTTATAATTTCTTTTCTTTTATACCTCCCCTGCCCTGCCTGAAAGAAAAAAAAATTATTTCGTTTCGTTTTTTTATTTTTGGATATATACTTTTTTAAAGATTAAAACACGTAAACTTAATCATTAATTAAATTTTTTTCTTTATTAAATAAAATAAATTTTTTAAATTATAATTATGAAAAAAAATTCTGTAAATTCTAATTTTTTTTTATTTGACAACGACAATATTTTTGCGACATGCAGCTCATGCCATAAAAAGCTCAAATCAATTCCATGTAAGATATTTTAAATATATTTTATTTTTATTATTGGTTCTTCTTTTTAAAGTTACAACTACCAAATTTTTATATTTTCGTCATTTAAATTTTAGAACAATTAGGGTGTGTAACGTAATTTATATTTAAGCTAAAAGACTTTGGCCAATTAAAAATTTTTTCAAATTTCTGGCTATACCTGTAGAAAAATATCTTCACAAGTAATTTTTTTTTCCTAGTCCGTTGTTTTCGCCCAACTCTCATTAGTTAATCCAACAAAATCTTATGAATTAAAGGACAATTAAAAAGAGGCTTATAATTTTTCTTCTATTTTTATAGTCATTCACCAAACCTAGTTAACAAATGATTTATAGCGAAATTAAAATTAATCCGATACCGAATATATATACTTTTATAACAACCTCCAATTGTTTTATTTTTACACAGCCTACCTAGTTTAAAAATGATTTAATAACCTTATAATTCAAATATATTTGCATTTTACAGCTAATCTTAAAAGACATATTTTAAGTCAAGATCCTAATATTGCAGCTAATTTGAAATCAGATGAAGTTAACATTTGTGATACGTCAACAGCAAGTTCGCAGTCAAACGAGAAGACAACCCAAACAATTAAAATCGTCATGAGCAAATCGAAAGTATTTTATTACATACATTAAACAATAAATCATTATAATATAATCAACTTTTTGTTGTTAAACCGTAGAATTTAATTTTTTAAAATAATTTTTAACTCGGGTTTAATTTATTTTTAAGGAATCTAGGAAAATAATTCCCTGTGAAGAAAAATCTCCGGAAGATTACTCCCCTGAAAAAAATTCCCTATGAAAATAATTCCCCTGAAAAAAAAATCCCACAGAAAATCCGGAAAATAATTTCCATTTTTTGATTCCTATATAATATTAAATTATTTTTAGAAAATTAACAAAATAGTAAAAAAAATCACCGGAAAAAAACCATTTTTAAAATAAGCCCTTGTAATCATTTATTTGGATATATACTTTTTTAAAAATTTATAATCAGATATAAATTTTAAAATCAATAGTATTGTATTAAATTAACATAAAAAACATCCATTTTGTTATTTTTAACCGGGATTCAGACTGATATAAACGTACGGAACAGAATAGTATTCTGTTATTCTTATTTAATGGTATATAAATCATTTTTACCTTAGTGGCGTTTAGGTTAGAAATACCCCCCCCTCTTCATGGTAAATATTAGAGACCTGCAGAGGTGCCATTTGTACGGCCAGGTCCAGCCCGGATTTTATTTTAAAAAAATTTTCGGCCCGGCCCGGATTT